CAGCTAACCTTCGATGATCTTAAGAACGGGTTTTTGAAATTTCAATTATTCCACAATCATTTTGCTGCGACAAGCAAATGGAAAAATTAAGAGAAAATGTCTGATAGATAATCCTCTGCATATAGGTATTAGTAAAACACTCTCTCACCCACTCTAAGCGCCGTTCAATTCGAAAATAGTATCAATCAATAGAGCATAAAATTGTCCATTCATGAGACCCCACTCCGACCCATTTTCTTCAAAAAAATCTCAGACAAAGGAATCAAATATCATTTTTATGAGTTCACTCTAACCCGCTCTCACCTACTCCAACCCCACTCTCACCCAGATCTTAACAAGAGGGTGTAGGCTGGGTCGGAGTGTGGATGTAGATAGGTGTGAGTGTGGGTGTAGTATGATTTGATATGAGCGTGAGAATGCGATGTGGATAAGGTACGGATGTAGGTGTGGATGGAAGAAGGCCCAGATCCACACACACAAATACGCGCTCCCATATCCACACCTCACTTACATCCACGACGAACCCGCATCCACACCCTCCCATATCCACGCCCCGCTCACATCCATGACCAAATTGATACCCATAACCACTACGCACACTTCCAAAACCGAAACCAAATCCCACACTCACCACACACATCCACATGTATACCATGTGTGGTGGGTATGAGATTTGGCGTGGGTCGCCGTGGGTGTAAGCGAGGTGTGGATATGGGAGTGCTTATTTGTTTGCGTGGATGTGGGCCTTCTTCTATCCACGTCTACATCCATACCTTACCCATATCCCACTCTCACACTCATGCCAAATCATACCCCACCCACAGCCCAAAATCCACATCAACCTCACCCACACCTATCTACATCCACACTTCGGTTCAACCGATACCTATCCACATCCACACTCCAACCCAACCTACAACCGCACGTACACTCTCTTGTTAAGATCTGGATGAGAGTGGGGTCAGAGTAGGTGAGAGCGGGTGAGGGAGGGTGAGTGTGAACTCATAAAAATGATATTTGATTCCTTTGTCTAAGATTTTTTGAAGAAAATGGGTCAGAATGGGGTCTCATGAATGGACAATTTTATGCTCTATTGATTGGTACTATTTTCGAATTGAACGGCGCTCAGAGTGGGTGAGAGTGTGTGAGAGCGTATTTTACTAATACCGCCTGCACAACGGCGCATAGGCCCAAATCCTCAAAATCGATTTGATTTTGTGAAAAGTTATCTGTATCAAAAGTTATGAAAAGCAATAAGATTTGTATTTGTATTAGATAACTAGTTTATCAAATGGATTTTTGATTATAAATTGTCGCATCTAACGATTGTTTGTGTGTATTTTCTTCCTTTGCATGCATACTATGGATGCAATTCATGTATGATGATCTGTACGTATGATTTCTATTTATGAAATAAAATAGTTCAACACAATAGAAAGCATACAAAATTTTATATAGCACCTAATGGAAATAAAAGAAGCTTGTTAGCGCAGCCTCTTTGGGGCTGAAATGTGGAACTCACATATCTTCTTTGGTTTCATTATACTAATCACAAAATACCCAATATATAAATTCTCCAAAAGATAATAGTTTTTTTTCTAATAATAATCGATTATCAGAAAACGCTGTCTTTTTATATCTCTATATTTCTGACAGACATTGGCCTACGTTATTATGGTCTGTAATGGGGACCTGTCAGTAAGGAGGGGGGAGGGGAGCCGCGAATCCTTGAACTTAAAACTTACACTCACTATTTTCTTCGAAAATATATGTGAATTTCACAAAATTAAGTCATAAACTGCAAAAATCTTTGTAAATAGGATAATATACCGCGAAAACACGATTCCGATACTACTTACCTTTTTTTGAGTAGGAACGAGCTTATATACCGTTCATGAAACAGATTGAGTTGTTTTGTCTTCTTTTATAATGGTCCGAGTCTTTTCATAGGTTAGTTCTCGTATATCATGCATAGAGATGCAACGGTGACGATAATTCACCAATTGACCGTTACCATTTCACCAGCCCAAATCGATAACCGTAGGTACGGTTACCGGTCTAATTACGATGACCGTACCTACGGTTGCTGGTCCAAGTACGGTAACCGTGCCTACGGTTATCGTAGTGAACCGGTAACTGGGCCTATGGCTATCGTCACTGTTGCATCCTAATCATGCATACTCGAAACTTGCTTCAAATCTTTACTTAACATACTGAAATTATTCTTTTTCTTTCTATTGAGTAATTCTACGTCTAGTATTGAATAAATACAGATGAATCTAAAGTGGTAAAGCTGTCGAAGCCTTCTTCTAAACATCATCAATGACAATAAGTATAATAAAACAAAAGACAAATACTTTTTTTCAAGACAAAAGAGTCGTCTTCTTTCTTCAATTTAGATAATAAAGTAAAAGAAAATGAAATCAACTATAGCTTTATATACTACCGCACATGAAGTTGATCTTCTCCATACTAATTTGAGAATGACTGGCATTCATCTATACCTTATAGTTGGTCATAATTTTACCGTCTAATGAAATGTCTTCAAAGCAGAGCGATCTAAGAGAATGTATTTTACAGTACACTGCATCGATAGTTTACGTGCAATTATTTGTCCACAGAAACGAGTAGATAAAATGCCTGTTCTTATCTTGAATAAATCCAATTTTTTTGTGTGCGTCATATCTCTTAGAATGCATTCTTATTTTTTTTAATAAGTTCTAGCAGTCATGAATGTCACAAAAGTCATGAATGAATTATGGTTTTTCTGTTGTTCAATATTCTTTTAATAAAAGATGAAAATCTCCTTTCTTTTATTATGAAAAGCAAATATCTTTTATAAAAACAAACTCTATCAATCATAGCATCTGCTTTTGCAAATAATATCATAAGTTTGCCATTGCAACTGCAATACAGGAAAGAAAAGACATTGATATGCGATGTTTTGTTCATTAGAAATAGTCTAGTAAAATATGCTAAACAATAATATAATTAAAAAGCTGAACATAATCGAACAATTTTCACAATCAAATAATCTTTATTGAAGAAAATATATTAAATTAATCAATGTGAAGCTTGTTTCATTCACGATATTGAAATTTTCTGCAATAATTTTTTTTTATAAGATGTCTCACAAGGAAGGTATACATATGACTTTGGGAGTTTATCTCTCTTTCTGATTTTATTAGACTTTTTAATAATAATAAGTTATTTCCTTAATTTAACTCAGCCATTTCACTATTTTATAATTCTTACCTAAAGTGTTGCAGATATTCAACTGTGTCAGATTATAGTGGTGAGAGATTTCACCTCAATTATAAAACATATGTACACATTCTCCGACGAACAAAAAAAGTATCTTTTTCCGATTCATTTTTTATCATCTATAACGCTTTGTTAAAAAAAACTAAATATACCACAAGATGCAGCATGAAAAGCTTTACTATCTATAGAGAACAACTCTTCTATAGTTGCACTTTTTCCTCAAGATGGACGAAAGTTTGTGCGACTAATTTTTGACGTTGTGAACAAGATCCTTTCTTTTTTTCGTATCGAGTGCTATAACGGATGGGAAAAAGTTAAAAAGAATAATGCATTAATTGATAACATAAGAAAAAGCTGTTAGCGCAATCCCTTGCGAGATTAAAAATGTGAAACACGATGGATCTATTGTTACTAATTAAATGAAAATCCTTTTGTTCCATTTCTTTGCAGGTGCAAAATTTCTACCCTATAGACTTCAACGCTCCTTTTAGGTCGTGTTTCACAAAAGAATTTATCGTGTACCAAAAAATTTTTTTTACGAAGTGTCAAAAATTAGTCGCTCAGAATTTTTTCGATTTTGAAAACAATAAGTGGAATTATTAAATAAACTGTCCTTTGTAGATTGTAGAGCTATTCACGCTGCATACTGCGGTATATTTTGTCTTTTTTTAACACAGTATAGTAGATAATGAAAAAAATCTCAAACAATAAGCCAGTCAAATGAACTGCAAATATTCATGTGTAGTGTAACTTATGCTCTATCTATAAAGATTATGTTCTTCAACTTTCCTAATGTCGAGATATTGTGTAAGTTAAAACTTCTATTGAGAAAATATGTGATTGACTGCATTTCTAGTCAAAACAAATTTATTGAAAAGAGATCTACATGCTGAAAATATCAGATGGACTAAACTGTGAGTATGTGTGCCAGCGTAGATGAGAGCGTAGGTGTATACGTGGATATTGTTTTGCGTGCGGTTGTCGTTAAAGTGTGATATTTTTCTCGTCTACCCATTCCCATTTCGATAACAGCAGCCATATTGACACCAACACCTACACCACATCCTAGTCTTCCCCTTTCCTTTTCTATCAACCTCTAGGATGACCAAACTACTACACGTGAATGATAATACGTCTGATCGTTATATTAATAGTATCAACATATTAGAGAGACTAATAGTCTATTTGTGTGAATTATTTTATTAGTGGCTCTTCTGAAACCATCACGAGCATAAATGGTTCATGTCCTAGTTATGCTCAATTCATTGCACGAATAAATCCCATAAAGTTATAGTTATACGACTTTGGTTATATACATGAAGTTTATCTTCATAGCAAAACAAAATCTAACAATATTTGTCACTCAATATCTATCCATAGTTTAATATATTGACCTGAAATAATCACGTATTATTATTAATTTATGAGTAAAGGGAATGAAATAAAATTTATTTATATAGTCAAGAATAAAAGTTATACAATATTAAGTGAATGATATACCCTAAAAAATATATATTTTAGAGAAATAAATATGAGTATCATTTTTAGTACACGAACAATAAAACAAAACAACATGGAAGGAGAATAAACGAAAGAGATAGAGAGAAGAATGAAAAGCAAAAAAAATAGTGCACGTGGATCATCGTGATGGTCCAACATCACGCTGGAATGAAGAAATAAGTTTATTTTATTTTAATTATCTTTTTTCTTTTTTTTTGCTTGATGATAATCATTGACTATTGTATAAGCGTACGAATAAATCTTTTAATAACTGCTTTTGAAGTATCTGCCCCATTTGTAGATCCATTATCTTCATCTTTTGATGCTACTGTTGAGCTGACTAGAATACTTGCTGTTGTTGTCGTCTTTTTTCGTTGTCTATGACGTTTTGATGTTAATTTTTCTCCACCTGGTATACCCATTGAACCACCAGCTACTTTAAACGATTCATCATTTATTGATGGACCAGCTGTTGTTACATCAGCAGGTGGAGGAGTAGGTGTAACTGCTTTTACTTTCGAATAAATCCATGCTAAACAAATATATAATTAATCATATCCATATGTTTTAAAAATATATAACTATCAAAAGCCAACAATACACACATGCAATTCAATAACGATAGGATCATAATAAAAAACAAAAAACACGGTAAACCAAGACAACATGAGTTTTCTTTTTACCTATTACCACTATAGTTAAAATAGTGCCTATTATTCCCATAATAATCATCATCTAATTATTATCATTAGAAAAAAATTAATAATTTAATTTAGCAAAGATAATAAGCAGAAGAAAACTTTTTTTTTTAAATAATTATTATCTTTTTCTGTTTACCTTCATATTTTTTAACCAAAATTTTCGTTTTAATTTTCCAGCATGTTGTTCAAATTGAGCTGCATTATGTTGTAATTTATCTTTAAAAACAATAAATAAATAATTATTAATTTTCTTATTTGTTTTTTAATATACCAGCTCGATCATCAAGAAGTGATAAATTTTTGTCACGTTCTAACACCTTATCAACATTTTGTCTCATTATATCCACAACTTCATCTACTTGTGCCTGTTGTTGAGCTAGACGTTTTGAACCACCACCGCCAGCACCAGCAGCTGGTGTTGAGCCACCACCACCATTAGTTGACCTATTTAAAAAATCAAAACCATTCAATAAGAACATTTCTTTTTTCTTAATTGAATATTTACATATTATATAATGAACTAATTTAACAAGATACTAATATGAATATCTAAAAACAAGAACAAAACTTTCATATAGAAAAATATACTTCCATATTGAAGATGATTTATTTTCTGTTTTGTGTAAAATATAAGTTAATATGAATAAATAAAAACACAAAAAAAGAATAATCACAATGATAAGATCATTTCAGCAACAGAATACATAAGAATGTTTGAAAGAAAGCAAAGAGTAATAAAAATATATTATAAAAGTCATGGATAAATAGGACGGTTTTTTTGCTTTTGAAGAGAAGAAGAAAAAAAATAAGTACGCAATAATCCAAATTCTTGACATATAGAATACACATATAAAATAATATCATTCATATAGATCATTCTAAAATAAATAAATAAATTTTTATATTTCGAAATCATTTCAATACAGTTTTAACTGATGTTCTTATGTAATTGATACAAAACTAATAAATTTACTTTAAAAATTCAACTGAAAGAAAGAAACAAATTCAAAGATCACTGGAGTACCTATTTGTTTATCGATTACAAAAGAAAAAAAAACTAATAACATATTTTCTCTTTTTAGAAAATCATCATGTATTTAATATATATAAAATGTCTTTAGTAGTTATTCAATGCTTCAAAGAAGAATAGTCGATTATTATTTAACAATATGTATCAAAAACTTCTGTATTATTTCAAAATTATTTCTTTTTTATATATACACTCCTTTCTTTTTCTCTTTCTATTACTTCAATACCATGGGATATAAGCTGTTGTTTTTATTCATTTTTAATAATATCCGGAAAGAAAATAAATTGTCGACTTTCCGTATGATTCAATCACGCTTTTTTTACCATATAATCACTGAAGTATCAAAGTAATCCACACCAAAAACAGAACGTATGGTGAGTCTGACAACACTATTGGCATATTAAAGAATCTAATAGTCAATTTATAAGATTATTTTATTAATGTCTTTTCTAGAATTGTTGTAAGAAATAAAGAATTAAGATCTATTAATATGAACAAATGTGACTTTACAATGTTATAAAACTATAACTTAATCCAACAAGTCTATTATGATATTCTACATATGAGAAATCATTTTCAAGAGTCAAATTACTTATGAGTCGAGACTTTGTGTATTTCATGCAGATCTTAAAGAATTACGAATATCATGCTATTAGATTGTTGTTGCCGAGATATTGCATTCTAGCACTATTCGGTGGTCCTCTTTGAAATACTACAGAAAACTGACTTTTAAATTTTCACTTGAAATTTTAAATAGATAAAGTTCATTAAAAAAAATTGTTTATTGTTAAAGTTTCAAACCATTTTATTTTTCCTATCCTAAAATACAACTGTGCGTAAAAAAAAAACTGTTTTTTCTACGTGATAGGCGGATTTCGATGTTTTTATTTCTGAATACTAGCAATCAAAAAGTCTGAAATTTTCATAATAAATTATTCTTACTAAGACTTCTTTCAATGTATTCATTGCTCATGAAGACTTGCATGATACACATTGACCTGACTCAAGAGCATTTTGACATTTGAAAATATTTCCTTGTTAGAAGTCTATTTGATTAGGAATTTTGTAGTAATATAATAAAAATTTTCTATCTTTCTTACCATCTTCCAATTTCACCCTGAGTTATTTTCCACTAGTAGTATTTTGATTATCATTATTATTACTATTGCTTTTTACTGATTGTGTAACAGCAACTAAAAATATAGAACATAATGTTTTTCTTTTAATTAGATTATCTTTTATGTCTTACCAACAATAATAATAATTAAAATGATCTTAAACAAAAAAAAACAAAACAAAACAAGTACATATATCAACATCTCATATAAAGCAATAACTCAACTTACAATAATAATGATTATAATAGCCCACATCTAAATATATCAACAAAATAAAATTAATTTTTTAGAATATTTTTATATTTCGTTTTCCGTTATGACAGTTTTCCTATAGCAGATGTTCTATCAAATGATATTATAATATTACATTATGATTTCTTCCTTTCAGAAAACTGTCAGTTACTAAGCACTTCTACATTTCTTATGGCAATATCTACTATAGAAATAGTAAAACTGCTTTGTTCATAGAAATAACTTACTTTAACATTTTTCCACCAATATTTTTTTTTTATATTTCTAGCATTGATTGTAAATTGTGAAGCACCACGTTCTAAATCATCTAAATTGAAATGATTATTAAGATTAGAAGAATATATCTTGTTTTTCTTTTTTTTTTATTTAACCTACTAGTTCGACTTTCAACAGCAGTTAAATTAGCATCACGTTCAAGTACTTTTTCAAGATTATTTTTCATAATGTCAACAACCTATTAAAAATAGAAAGTTTTTCTTAAAGTAAGTTAAATAAATTTTTTTTTTCATTTTTTGTATATTTCATACTTGATTAACATCAGCTTGAAGATTATCCGTTCGTTTTGGTGTTTCATATTGTGTAGCACGAGGTGGATTTTCATATGATGATGTCCTAATAAACAACAACAAAAAAAAAAATAAATTTATTAATTTTGAAAATCTTTTAAAATTATTTACATGATTTATTTAATTTTCTTCGAATTACAGTAAATAAATCAATCTAAAAGAAAAATATTAGAAATGTCAAAATCAAACATCTATATAATTAATAATATACAACTAACGCCATAGTGGCCTTGTTGTCATATCTTCCTGCATAATAGAAGACTTTTATAGTTTTGGTATACTAGCGACAAACAGAACAATCTATTAATGAGAAAGATTTTTACAAGTTCAATGGAGATTGTCAACCAATCATTGAAATGAACGAGTACTATCGGTTGTCGCTACGATTTTTATAATGAACAAATGTAATACTTTCTCTCTCTATATATAGAGAGAGAATATTTCCAGGAAAAATTATGACGATTGATACTAATCATAGAAAATGAAGAAAAAAAAATATTCTGCGTCATTTCTTTTGAATGACTTTCTTTTTATCACCAAAAAGTTAACTATTTAATGGTTTATTTATTTTCTTTTTTTTTTCATGAATCATAAATTTTTCCTGGCAGTTAACATTGATATTTTCTTTAGTTTTTATTTTCAATTATTTAAATTTATCTGATAAATAATAGATAACATTTTTAAAATTTTGAATCACTTAATGTTTTTGTTTGTTTTTAGATAGTTCATTGAATGATCATCTAAACAATTTCGAAGCATTGATCAAATTGTTTATTGGCTATGCTTGTCTAAAGATTGTTATATCAGTGCCATTTTCTATTAGTGATCCATAATGCCGACATATTTTCCATTATGTTCATAAGAACAGATGGTATATCAATAGTAGATTGCCGGTCGGATATCAACTATTAGTATACTATATTTAAAGGATAGTTAATCGTTTTAGAATATTTCCTTCCTTCTCTTTTTTTTGAGAATAGTTCATCAAAAGAATTTTTGAAATTTTCAGAGTAGGTAGATTTAGATGAATAGAGCAAAAATTATTAAATACTTGAAATTCCTTCGATGCTGTTTTCTATGAGATACTAAAATTACAATGGTGAAAAATGATTATTTCTTTTTTTTTTTTTGAGATGGTATATTTGATCGAGTTGAAAATTATTTTTACAGACGTGAAACACTGTTTTGAGTGAATAGCTTTTTTGGTTTCTTTTTATTTTTTGTCCTTCGAATATAAAAGTCAAAATATTGAAGGAATCTTTAAAAAAAACGCATGTCTTTTTCAATAGAATGTTTTTTTTTTAGTAAGACCTAACAAATGCAGAATAATACAAATAAAATATTCATACTAAACAATATCGAGTATATATGAAAAAAAATTTTTAGCTCAATCAAATCTTTAAAATGTTAAATTATCGTTAGTATAACGTGTATTATATAGAATGATTAGTATCTCGATAAGATTCCAATGAGATATTTATATAGTTTTTATTTTATCATTAAACTTTCTTAGACATGATTGAAAACTAAATCTATAATTTGTTTTATGATTTGATTACTAGACTAGAATAAATTTATTTAGTAGTTATAAAATCAATTCTATTCAAGTACAAATTTTCTAAATATCAATCAATTCATTCTTTGGTAATCAAAATTTTATTACCAGATATTTCAATGAGAATATATGTATATATCAAAGAAATAAATCGTAAAAAATTGTTTTCTAAGCTTTGTCAAGAATTAGGAATTTGAAAAGTACTAGAATTGTTAAATCATCAGATAGATCTGAAAAAATTTTCAAATCTATTTTGAGATTATAGATTTCAATGTAAATGTATAATAGTAAAGAACTGTATATTACCGTTGATCTCAAAAATTAAATAGCTAAAAATGATCATATTCATTTGATAATTTAAAAATTTTTGGAATTGCCGAAATTTAGCCTTCAGTTTTGACTGGTCGACTAGATACACATTCAATGTTATTCTTTATTGATTCTTAGTCTATGACGACTAATTATCATCTATATTAGGTATACACCAGAGTCAGTCTATGGCTGATAAAGTAGTACTGATGTATATATGCGTCGAAAAATATAAAGTATCATCAATCGATAAATTAATCCTGAAATACGTTTTTTTATTTTTTTTATTTTTGCATAGAATAAGGAGAAACATATATAAATATTATCTACTATAGATAAGAATAGACTTTGATAAAATAACATAAACAACAACAAAAAAAGAAAAGATAATTGTTTGATCGCTACGAGATGATCATTACTTTTTTTTTATTTCTAGATAAAAAGACTTCTATTCATAAATATGGATCGACGTATTTTATGCGATAGTTTAATAAAATGGGTATGAAAACTAAATCTCAATATATATATATATTGACTTTTTTCTGTATAGATGAAAACATTTGATCTAAATCGACCAATAAATGGAGTTGGTGATCTATCCGATGGTGTTCTTATAGCTATGTGTTTAAAAAATATGTTCGTTATAAAATTTTTATTTTTTCTACTTTACATTAAAAAAAAAACATTTTCTTCTTTTTTTTCTAGTGATGTAAATCATTTTAATGATGTTTGGTTACAAAAAATTCGAACTGATGCTGGAGATAATTATCGAATAAAAGTAATGAATGGTCTATAAAATACAACGGATCAAAATGTTTTTTTTTCTTGCTCTTATCATACTGTTCAACACATTGAAGAATCTGTTTTAGACTTATTTGATAGAGAGAGCTTCTTTTTTTTTTCTTCGAACATGTATCCTATTATATAAGTCTGTAGTTATCAAGATCGATGACAAATGGAAAGTATTCAGCATCATTAGATACAGAATTTTATGCTCTATACTTCTGATATATTTCCAAGGTTTCGAATAGTATTATTTGTGTATGCGAAAGATTTGAAACTAATATTTGCCTATATTTTGCGTTCAAAAATTCGCTGTCTTCTAAACAAAATGAAACAACAGAACAACACAAATCTTTAGATGATTCCGAAAGAAAAAAACAATAATAGCATTGATCTGGTAGAACCCGGATCTTTTATGTTATGTTCTAATTTTTGCTTGGAAATTTTATTTTCGTAAAGTTTTATGAAATATATTGCAGTAAACTTACAATTTCAACAAAACTGTTTTATTTATTGACAGTCGCAGTTGGACACCTAACAAAAGAATACGTCCGAAATGATACCCCGTCGTTTGAGCGCATTATGTGCCTTAAAGGACGTCTTGGTGAGACGAACCGAGGTCTAAAAAATAATTGCGCTTATGACCCTTTGAAGTCGAGTAACGATCGTTTTATTGAATTCTTGACTTAGCTTTAGATACGTATCGAAAAGTCAAAAATAGAATTTTGACGATGTATAGGTCAAATGACTAGTAGAATATATCTTTGTGGTAAAGATCTTGAATTACTCAAAAAACAAAATTGTTTATTACAGAAATTGAGCAAACTTGAAAACTGCATATCTCAACAAAGGACTATTCTTTTCAGCGGAAACTTTCCTAAAGTTCACTAAAACGACCAACCATAACTTAACTTCAAAAGCTTATGGAGTAAATCCTTATAGGTCTCTACTAATCTTATCAAGACTGGTATTACTTCGAATGGTTTTCTGATGAGTGATTGTCAATCTTTTCGATTTTAATGCTATCTCAAGATTCTTCTATGTTTTGAAAAATACTTTAAACAGAAAAAAACATTTTGATCCATTTACTATAGAGTACTCATTATTATTGTTTATTTTAAATTTAGGCAAATAATCTTAAAAAAATCCTTAAAAATATAACCGATTATTATTCTGAAGTAATATTTATTTTTTTTTTTGTGTTAAAAGAAAAATTTTATTTATTTATCGATCTTAAGATACTTGGTCAATCTCTTGTTGATTTTCAAATGCCAGATCTTAATATGATAGGTAATTATATACTAAAAGTTTTGTTTGTTTGTTAATTTTGTTTAATTAATATAGCTGAAACTACTGATGAAACAGAACTTAGTCGATTATTACAACTTGTTCTTGGTTGTGCTGTTAGTTGTGATCGAAAACAATATTATATTGAACATATTATGTTATTAGAAGAATCTGTTCAACATGTTTTAATGAATGCTATTCAAGAGGTGAAAATTTTCAGAAAAACAAAAAAAAAACCTAAACAAATTAAATATTTTTTTTTTTGTTTCTAGTTAATGGTAAAAGAAATTCGAAAAAATAATGAAGAATATTCTGAATTAGGTGATCAAGTAAATAAATTTAAAATATTTCTATATAAAACATAAAAAATAAAAAATAAATTCTTATTTATTTATTTTATTTAGTTAAAACATGCATTAGAAGAACTTAATCGTGTTGTTGAAGCTAAAGAAGAAATTGAACATCGTTGTCGTGAACTTGATTTACAAATATCTACACTTCAAGATGATAAATTTGGTTTAATACAAGAAACAACACGTTTAAATGAACGTTTACAACAATATGAAAATGCTGAAGATGCCGAGTAAATATAAAAGAAATTAAAAATTTTTTTTGTTTTTCAAAAAATTTCTTTTTCATCTAATTTAAGATCAATACCAAGAAGTCGTTATAAAACTTTACAAGAACGAATTCAATCTCAACAAGAAGAAATTTTTAAACTTGAAACAAGTAACTAAAATTAAATCTATCTTTAAACAATAATTTCATATTATCGATGTACTTTTTATGAAGAGTTTACTAAACTTAGGATTTCAATGACTTCTCATAAAAAAATTTTATTTTTACTTGTTTACAATGCACTATCATAACATTAGAAAACTCGATAAAAAGACAGAAAATAAGACGAACTTTTTTTTCTTGTCTAAATTCCAGAAATATGTAGAGAGTTTTTTAATCTTTTGGAAAGTATTGTGAACGAAATATTTGTTTTTAGAACTTTTTAGTTAAAAACTTAAGAATCTATAACTATTTTAGCTTTACAAGATTATCGAGCTAAACTTGATGTATTACGTGAAGATAATGAAAATCTTCTTAAACGAGTAAATATTCAATAAAGAAAAAATAAATAAAAATAAAAATAAAAATTCATTTAGAATGATGATTTAATGGTACTTGCTGGTGATGCACGAAATTTTAAAGATGAATTAGATATATTAAGAAATAAATGTGAAAAAATGGTTCGTATAAAAAATCTTTTTTTTTGTTTTAATTTTGAAAAAAATATTTATTTTTTTTGAAGACTAAATTAGAATCAACAATTGATGCATATAAAATAAAATTAGAAGAAATGTCTGATCTTCGACAACAAATTAAATATTTAGAAGAAACAAATTTACGTTTATTTGATGAAAAAGCTAATTTAGAACAAGAATATAAACAAGCAAAATTATTACAAACACAAGTTGAATTTCATAAACGAACAAATCAAGAATTATATCAAAAAATAAGTGAATTACAACGTATTGCTGATAAAGCTGAATTTGAAAAAAATCGAACTGAAGAACGTTTAAATGCAATTAATGCAGAAAAAAATGTTCGTAAAAAATTTTTAAGAAAAAGAAAAAATCATGAAGATTTTTTTTTTTTTTATAGAATTTAACAAATCAAATTGAATTATTAAGAGAAACAAATGAAAAACTTAGTGGTGTAAACTTAGATGAAGGTTATTTATTAAAATAAATTAATACACAAAAAAAATTGATTTTTTTTTCATTTCTATTTTATAATCTAGCTGATGGAACAACTAATTCAAATGATCAATTAA